CACTGATTTTTATTTTATCTTAAAGATACAGCTCGAGTTGGCTTAGAAATATTATGTTTTATGATATTAAAATAAAATCACGCAGTTTTTCTGAAAAAATAAATGTATACAAAAAAGCAACTCAACTTGCAAATATGTGAAATTCGGTCATAACACGTTTGAGTACACAACAATATTTTTATCTGGGAATTGGGAGGAAGGTTGGGCGTAAATATCATGTTTGGATAAATTTTTTTCTATTTTTCTTTTTATATCCATTATTTATGAGACACCACGATAAGACTACATTTTAATAGTTAATTGTTTCCCAGCATTTTGTTTTGAAACTTAAATTTAAAAATATTTTGATTATTATATATCATAAAAAGTTTATAGAAATAAAAATGTTTATTGTTTGTTTTTGCGGCTTAGTCGATAACAGTACGAGTATTATGTACACAGGTTATCATTAATTTTATTATACCCAAAATTCCAAAATTGGTTTTTTAATTTTCTACGTACAATTATGATTAGATGACATGATATCAAATTTATTTTATTCTGTGTTTATTTGTACTCAAATGTGTTGTTTATACGTCCGAATACATTTATCGTCCTAAAATTTGAATAGACATTTGCTAACAAAAAGCTTGTTTCATTTAACAACAAATGCATTTTTTGTTTACGTTCGTTATTAAATAATTACACGACGGTTTATATGCTGTTGAATTACTGCAACAAAACAAAATTAATTACACTATATAAAGCTCACTATATAAGTTAGGCAGGCGTAGTTCTAGTGCGTATAAAATATTGGTCGTATCATTGTTTAATTATTTGAAAACAATTATTGAATTTATGTTATTATACGATTTGGTTTTACTCATAGTATATTGTCAAATAGCAATACTAAAAATATTATTCCATATTTTCAATTTTTTAGTATTGCTAAATATTTTATTATATTTCGATTGTATATCAGAAATGTATTAGGGTTAATATTTGCCAACTAAAATAATTTGATCAAAATTAATTTTTGTAGAACTTATAATCAGCAAATTGGACGATTTGAAACTATTGTTTGGTGGTTAGCTGGGGAGGGTGGTTGAATACTTATAAACGTACAATTTCGGAGCTAATTAGTTAAAAAAAAACTTAAAATAATTATATTTATTAGGCATAAAAAGTTAATTTTTCATATTCTAATTTGAGATTATGAAGTATTACCTTGTACTATTTAATTATACATATAGTTATCAGTTTATATAAATTATCGTATGTTTTCATGTTTATAAGAACCAAGAAAAAATTAGATGCTACGTAAATATGTATAGAATGTATTCACTTATACTTAATATAATTAAATAACATGGTATATCTTATAACTATTACTTCTTTATAGTTAAATCACGTTTGAAAAATTTGATAGGCAATCCAACTTACAATATTAGCTAAAACTTTAGATAATTAATTATAATTTTATCAATTTTTTTATAACTTCTATATGCACATACAAATAATATTGTTTTTGTTGATTACAAAAACATTATTCTACATTACATACTGTAATAACTATAGTATTTTAAATATTTTCTTCTCTGGGATTTTTTGGAGTAATGAATAAACAAATGTAAACGAATTGTCTAATTTATGATATTTTGCCAAATAATTTATTTACGCATATAGTAATGTTTGTCATGCAAAAACTATTTTAAAATTCGATAAATTAATTAAAAACTCTTTTCGTTCAAATAATTTATATAACACAAAGAACAATTAAAAAAATATCCTAAATTATTAATTGATTTAGTCAAACAAATAATTACTATATGCGTGTTCTAAAATGTTCTAAATGTTTCATTAAAACTAAGTTTGTTGTTGATAACAGTTTTCTAAAACTAAGACCAATTATTGTTGTATCGATGAGTCAAAATAAAACATTTCAAACAATACCTATGTATATGATAAATGAGCCGATCGGTGCTGATCGAATATTTTCAAGTAAACACTCGATATAGTAAACATATTTTTAAAATTGTTTTGACTATAATATGTACAATACAACAAACATAAACACATTACGTATGAATTAAGAAAAAAATCTATTTTTATGTGACGTTCAAATTTTTAATTTTGGCATGTACTATGCGTCGCATGTCCTTGACCGAGTAAATTGCGGGTTTTTCCGACACGACTAGGTTTTTAAAATCATTTATTTAATTTTTTTACTCTGCCGTTAGACATTTTTTAGTAATATTAATAACGCGAAGAGGAATACCTCTTTAAACTTAAAATGCACATTTATTTTAGCGTTTTCATTATTAATTATTATTATTGTTATTCTAATAAAATTGGGCATACTAAAACCACAATTAGTAACTGTCTTACCTACATCCTAAATGTCACTGCACGTAATAATAAATGATAACACATAGATTTAACATCTTAATGTTCTTATTGACGCTATATAAAGCGCTATAAGTACAGTTCTCGTTATGAAACATAATATTATAACTTTTGTACACTTTTTAACATACACACGTTATGTGATGCGACAATTTATTTTAACGATGACTGATGGCTATAATTACGGAGGAGGGTTTAAAGACAGTGAACGTATTTCAAGGTTACGGTTTTTTTTTTTTTAACTTTACTCACATAATACATGTATGTATATACGTAAAACAAGTGTATTATGTATGCCTGGTTGTTCGTTATCCTCGGGTGGTTAATATTACAATAATTGTTCGTATTAAAAATAAATATTATACGTAGCTATTGGTTCAAATTGTTCTAATGTATTATAGAAGACATCCACAAGGAAAATGTTTTCAAATGTAACACTATTGTCTTTTTTGTTAAAACACGTACATATTGTTTTTTTTTTGTTTTTTAATACATTTTTTCGACATTTTCGATTCTTTATTATAATGTCACATTTTTGTGAGGAAAATATAATCAAATTTGCATGTTACTAATTTCATTAGGTTTTCGCATATTATACGAGGAAAATCATACGACTATTGATTAATGATTTCATGCTATAAAGTAGAATATTATTTTTGAAAACATATATTATAGTTGTGGTTGTTATTTTGCCATTTTGGATTGTATCAATATGAGCCAATAAGTTAGCAAAAATACTCTTCCCGACACTCCTATTTGATCTAAATTGTAAAACTTAACATGTTATTATTATATTATCATACACCGTTATTGGTTGTGTATATTTATTGTATGCTCGTGAATCAAATAGATTTTTAAACAAATATTGTTCTTCAGCACGCCATGATATTAAAAATCTTGTACGGTTAACATCATTTTAAAAATGCAAAATACCTACAACAAAATTCACCACGGTAACAAATAGGTTTTATAGCTATCAAATAGGATTGCGTTTTAATGAGTGAAAGGATTACAATGTGTATGTAAAAATGTTCCAAGATAAGCCAAACGTCGAAAACATATATAATAAAATCGCGAACCTCATGACGTTATAAACTACTTGTTATTATTATAAGAGTGATGCATCATGATAATACAACATTATTTATGCTGTAATCAGGAAATCGTCGTCGTCGTCTTGCGGTGATCAACGCCATCAGCAGGTGACATTTATACGCGTCTCGAAAAAAAAAAAATAATACGCTTTATTGTACAGTGGGCGTGTGAGACGGAAGCGTTTCCGGTCCCGTCCCATCCCGTTGTCCTGTATTCCTGTATCGCGCTCCAGTCGACTACACACGCGCCTTCCGATAAACGCATCGCATCCGGTTTAGGAGGATACCTGCATGACTTACGAATGTACAAAGATATTATCGTCGTCGTCATCGTCGTGCACAGTAGTCGTTGTAATATTGTCATATTATTGTCCTGTTGAAGCGCGTATACCTATACAGTTTATCGGACAATTAATAATATACGCTCACAAACGTTCGGAGAGTTAAAAATAATAAACACGATTTGACGTTATGTGCGCAGTACCTACACACACACACACCACGTGCATACGGAAAACTATAATATCATTAATAGGATTAAATATAATCATCGCTGAGCGCATTCGTATTATGTCGTGTGCGACGTCGCACGCCCGTCCGCGTGTGATGTTCCGGATCGCGCGTGATATTGTATTATTATATCCCTCCGGCAGTTAACGCGTTTATTAGTAGTAGGTACTTGGCAGTTAGCAGACGTCGTGGCGTGCCGTACACATTATTATTATTATTATTATTATTATTATCGTTTACACCGCATTTGTACGTCATGGTTTGTTCTTCATCATTTTTTTTTCTTACATAACTGATGTACATCATCCCGTTGTATTGATATATTCAACAAGTATGATGTATAATATAATATATGAGACGAGATAATATTTTTTAACTCGAGTCAATTCGTCGCGTTGTTTAAATCCCGAGGCAAAAATAACACGCGCTTCTAAAAACGTTGCAGGCCATCGTCGTTTTATATTTCACTATGGCTCATGATCTCCGATCGACTCAAAATATATGTGCTATTATTGTAATGAATCGTTACAACGATAGAGATAATAACTTAATCGATATCAATAATTTCAGAAATTTTTTTTCGTAGAATATAAAATCAAAAAGTCTTCGTTTGAAAAAAGAGAAAAATCCACAGAATTGACATTACAACAATTTTTTCGTTTATCGTTTCGAATTTTATCGTATAGAAACGTTTAAATGTACCAATGTCAACTTCAACTAAACATTAAATACGTCTCCTTCATATATTTTATATTATACATGCCTACAATACTTTGCAGAGTATATTTAGAACATTATATTTTGGTATATAAGATATATGTATATTATTATTGTGTATCATCATCATCATCATCATCATCATTTAATAATTATTATTATTATAATACCATTTTTATTGTGTTATTATTGTGTTACAACATATTTTACATATTATTATTATTATTATTATTATTATTATTATACATTGACGGCTTTTGCACGTACTCGCACGTATATACATTTTGTTTGCAGCTTTGGCCCCGCATGCCGCAACATGTCCTACCGCTCGCTGGCCGCCGATCGCGTGTACAAAGCGACTACGGACGACCTGCAGCCGGAGCGGAAGAACTCTGTCGGTACCGTTTTTAAAAAGGCTTTCGGCACGCTAAGCTCCAGCCCCCGGCGCAGGCTGTCCGAACCGCTTATGTCCGGCGTGCCCGTAATCGGCACCGGAAACATCAACACGCCGCTCAGGTATATTACACGCGCGTATATAATATATACACGTACAATATAGGTGCACATATATCAATATATGGCTACGTTATCATCATCATCGTGTGTAAGCGTCGAGGTCGAATAGAACTCAACACGCCAGTACTTAGTATATTAAAATAATATATAAATAATCTTTAACACCATACACACCGGTATACATTTACAGCGGCACCGATATACTAATCTTACTGACTCTTTTTCTCCACACTTTTATTTTCTTTCAATAAAAAATTGCATCCGTTCGAAATACAATGACTATAAAAACATTACGTTTATTTAGTACCTGCCTATGAGTATCATATGATACGTGCTTGCAAATATTTAGTGTTTTCACGGCATTTAAGCGACTATTTAATATTAAATCTTTATTATGGTTGTGAATCGATAAAATAGAGTTTGAAAAATATAAACAAACCAAACATAACCGGTAATTGACTATAGTTAACGCCTCGGTAGGTTAGATTTAAATATTTAAATTGTGTACAAGTGTAGAGTTACTTATAAATATTATATTTAAACATGGACTTTACCTCAAAAATACTTGGAAATTTAAAATCAGGATTTTAATAGATTCGTAATTCGAACACCTTATTGACCGTAAATGAGTCGTAGTAAATTATTATCGAAGTCGATATAACATGACGTAGTTTCTTCTCTATTGCTACAACTGTTATTATAAAAACGACGTACAATATTACATTATTTGTATTAGTACAGCCTGTCGTCGGTTTTGTTCCTTAAAAGCTCTGGATACGGACAGAGGAAACACTGGGGTTTAAAAAAAAAAACCTGAGACAACCTTTTTTAGTATAATACTCGTAAAAACTTTTTTTATCCAAATTATAACGACATGTTAACAGGGTAAGCCATCTTTATTTATCGTTTCTTGAGTCAATAATACATACAAACGACTGTAAAATAATAAAGCCCTAAACGCACGGTAGTACGGTTATTACGATTATTATTATAAATCATATATGGTGGATACACAAGGACATGATCGATTATAACTAGGTAGTGAAAAGGGTGACGGAGATACGAAAAAACTACCCGAAAACTTTTTCCCTTCTATTCGCAACGATTTTTTTGGAAAACATATCGTCGACCCCGAAAATAAGTTACACATACATTAGTTTGATATATTAATTCTATATGCTTCCTTGATTGCCGTGTATACACGACATTCGTGGCGTATTCACGTCCATATTGTGGAGTGGAGGGGGATGTTCAGTTTGTTTAGTTGTGTTAAATTTTATCATGTAAGATTAAAAGCCTAGGTACTATACTATATAGTAATTAATCGATTTATTTTTCATATTAAAACTTTTCGCTGATTATTATAATATAACTATAATAAATAAATCTGTTTTATTTAAAAAAAATATATTTAATAGAACCGTGCAAACTTAGTTTTATTGTATTAAATGTGGTTGAAAAAGACAATTTTATGGCTTTATGTAACACTACACAAAATTTGAATTATGACATATGCATACACACGTACACACATCACATTATTCGTCGAGACGTGCGATGATGAGGGGGCATTGGTATAATATAATAATACGACATGTTGTATGTTAACGTGTGTTTCTCATATATCATTATTTTCGTTTTACAGAAAAATGCCAACCTCTGCTATATCCGAAGAAGCGTCGCTGCTCAGGTGAGTACGCTCATGACCGTTGTTGTCTGATTTGTTTCTATTATCCGCATAGTCGTAGATGTATTTTTATGTTTCACGCGGTGACGCCGATTGCCGAGTTTAGGCTCGTCGATTGATAATTTTTGTCGTCTAGAGGTTAGATTGTCCTAATTAAAATAATTTTATTTATAATTCGCACGGTGCTAGCCCGTTAACATCGTTTATATAATTTATATATATATATAAATCGTGTATACCGTGTGCCGGTATAACACTTCAAAGAGGTCACTCGTATCGCCCACTTTGGCCAAACTCGGCGCCACTGCGGCTACATTGAATATAATACGTTACATCCGGTTGGTGAAATTACCCAATTCACGAAATGGACAATTTTTTTTTTTTACTATTTCATGACTAAAGAGTACCTTGAACAGTTCGTGTGTACTTTGTCTGTCCCACGATAATAGCGAATGGTATAATTATTAAACTAGCGAATTAAACTTATGATATTATTTTTTTTTCAATCATTTTTTTACATTTTTACCATTACAGTTTTATTATTTTTTCAATTGATATATATATATACCTATATTAAAAAGAAATAAAAAAAAAAAACCATTGCAAATAGCTTTTGATTTCACGAATTGGGTGCAACGTCAATAAATACCTATAATAGATAAGTAGGTACTGCGGTTATATTGTGTGTATACTAAAATGATATCACAACGTAACCATCGTGTGTTTTCTATGTGCGATGCAGTGGCATGCGATCGGAGACTTTGGAAGAAGTAGAACTCACCGGAGTCCGTCCGTCACTACCAGCCGTCCGAACGTTTACCAGGGGCAATACCGGTGTGGAAGAAGTGTACGTGGATACCGACAATGGACCGGTGTGCGTGGCAGTGCAGGGCGATCGTTCTAAGCCACCTATACTCACTTACCATGACCTGGGACTGAACTGTAAGCGAGCTAAAGATTTGGATCGAATTAAATTATTTAACGAATTAATAAATTTAACCAAAAGAACCTGGACCGATACTAAATGAGTTTGGTCAGGTGTAATGTCTAATTATTCGGTACCGTTTTGATTCGATGATAACAATAAAAGTCCTTAAAACTTTAAGAACAACAAATTTATTTTTCGTGTGCAATTAATGTATGACGAAAATTTAAACAATTTAAATCATTTTATTCGTACAATATTAAAATGTTAATAATGTTTATTGAGCATTGACTTTATACCTCATAGAAAATGACTCAGTACGTATGTATTACTTCCTATTTGTTTGTAGCTCACATATTTCCCTTTAAATGCATATTATTTTGAGCATTTATTTTGTTAAGTTTTTGAAACGTTTATCAAGTTTTAATTTTAATTTTAACAAACACTTATAACACTTATTTATTGTCATTGAAATATTAGTATCTGCTGGGACTTATTATGCCCTCGTCTGTGGCTTCGCCGTTCGATGATATTTGAAACCGCCCCTTCTTGAACTGTCGTGGTCATACGTAACGACTCATGACGTTAAATTTCTCGTCCGATGAGCAAAACCTCTTTCCTGTTTTTAATTTTGTATGGAGGTCGAGGAGGGAGGGTTAGTTTTGACGCAACGCTAATTTTTTCCACACTAAAACGTATATTAATTATTACGGTTACTTGCGTACCTAATCTCTTAAACGTTTTTAAAAGCCTATCTCTCCGTGAGTCATATCGTAGAATTTATGTATAGGTATTATATTGAACATAATATTACTATATTATATACATTATTATTGTACATGAAACGTGTACAATATATTTATTTGAACGTTTTCTAACGCCTATTCGTTTTGCAGACGTTACGAGTTTTCAGACATTCTTCAATTACACTGAAATGCGCACCCTCATGTCAAATTTTTGCGTATACCACGTGAACGCACCCGGACAGGAAGAAGGAGCAGCACCGTTATCGGATGAGTAAGTTTCATATGAATTAGCAAAATTTTATTAAACGCATTCGTTAGTAGATGAAAGGAAGTTTTTATGAGTTCGACATGCATTGTTCGAAATGTTCCATGTATGAACAAGAATAAAGCACATTAATTACAATGAGTGACCACGATAAGCATGCTACGATATAAGTATAAATAAATAAACGACGTTTATACTTTTGCTTTGGCTGTAATGATGTAGTGCTGTGTTAGTACACAACTAAGTGATCAATCCATGTTGAGCGTATGTCGTTACAATGCGTTAACGAAATATAGATGTTTGTTAAATGGTTTGTTAATGAATTATTGATAGATTGAGTAAGATTTTTAATTTTTGCATACAATTATTAATACTACGCGCAGACTGAGATGAGGGTTATTATAGTTGTAACAACCTTTATACTCTAACTATTTCGTGTCATTAAACTTAATTCAGATGAATTGAGTGTTATTGATTTTTTTTTTTTTTTTTATTACCCAAATTATGTGTGTTAAAAATAGTCTGAGGAAATAAAATATTTATATTATACGAATAACACGAATTGTTTTTAATAATACATCATGAAAATCATATTTATTTCGTTTAAATTTACTATCGATCAAAAGTAAACTCCTTGTCCCGCTCAAAATATAACATGTAGGTACGTTAAATAATATAAGCTTTGTGCGTGAGTGCCGAAGTTAAATTATTAATATTTAAATTTCTCGAGTGCCTAAATCGCCTTTAGATAAAAACACTCAAATTTATTAAATGATATATCTATATGTGCTATTAAATATATTTGAATACATCTTTAAGTTGTGAAATTAATTATTAATTGACAAAATTTGGTAATGTTATGAACAATAAACGTTGAATACGATTTATAATTATCTACAATAAACTGTATAGTTTATAATTTTTTATTGTAAATATTGAATATTTATCGAAAACAATGTTGTACTTAATATGACTTAATAATTCAAAACTACAGTAAGCACACATAATATAATATCAAAAATAATTTAAATTTAATTATATTTTTTAATATTTGATTTTTATTTATGATTTGTGTATATTGCAATACAAATTGTATTATACAACATATTATTGATTTAAGATAACATTACGTTAGTATTTATATTTCAAACCAGTAAGGGCCAATTGATTACTCAATACCATTTCGGTTTGTTCGTCGATGAATTTTTCGATGCTGTTTTCCAAGACCTTGGGGATACGTTGATGAGCGAGATCCCTGATAGTTTCACAGTTGTTATCGTTGTTCAATAGCACTGTGAGCCCATTGAGGGTGGTCTTTGAGAACTTCTTCGAAATCTGCCCTTGTCCGTTGGGCTTAGCGGCTACAATCATAGTTTGCATGTTGTCAATGGCGAACGAAGCTTTGCCATTGTACACGTTTCCGTTATTGTATTCCAAAGCCCATTCGGTGTTGCCTCTCAGGTCGAATGACGCGAAACAGAAGAGCATTTCAGTTTGATCATTATTAACGGTGTAGTTTACCATCTTTTGAATTTTGTTAGTGCCGCTCAAGTCGTTAAACATAGTATTGTAAATCTTGGCCTGTAATGAGTATATAAGATTTTCCATCAGAAATAGTAAATATTATTTATAAATTATAATGAACAAAAGAAGTGCAAACTATATAATTAAATTATAAAACTGAAGTGTAAGCGTTAAGAGTGACTGTAAAGAGGAGCCAGGAGTTCGGAGTTTTACATTTTTAACAACACCTAGGCACTTAATTATATATATTCTATATTTCCATAACATTATAATTAGATTTGGAATTCTTTAATAAAATGATTATTTTTTTTCAATTTTAGTGCATGATAAATGATAATATTTCAATAAATATTAATATTATAAAAATATAATTTGTTAAAATAGTTCTTTTGGGAAGGGCTGCATGGCACTAAAAATTTGTCTACGAGTTGTATTTTGAGCACAGCATTAAATATAGTGTCAATGACGTATATCGTAAATGTTTATGTTTATTCACTAATCTTATTTAACAGTGTTATCTTACTTGTATTCCGGGAGCAATGTAAGTGTTGGTTTTTGGAACAACCATGGAATTTTTCGGGAACAATACAGTCGATCTCAGCTCTTGCGCGAGATGCATTGCAACTAGGGGTGCGAAGCTGACGGCCATTTCTTCGGCTAGACGGCCTTTGATCACCTTGTTGAGGTAGTTGTGGTAAAAGATGTATGGCTTTTTAAATTGATTGTTTCCGTTCAACTCGTTTAATACTTCCATGTTGGTGAATGCGGATTCGTGGTGACCAAACGTCAGCGACTTGGAATCGATTTCTGGCCTTGTTTCCATGAATTCGTTTAACAGGAAATTTGCTTTGAATTCAATATCTCTCAGTGTGATGTAAAACTGTCCGGACTCGGTTTTCTTAGAGTTGGTAGCATCGTAATCGCCGACGATATCGGCTTTCTTTAAATTAGCGGAGATCGAAAACTAGAAAATAATATACAAGGGACTGATTAACTGACTCTCTGGTTATAGACAATATATCCTGCTTATAAATTATACATTCTACATATATATTTAAACCATTTTTATATTTTACCACGTTCTTGCCGATTTGGTCCACGTTAACTTTGTTTAAGATTGTGTTTTCCAAACCTTGAATTTTAGCGTTTCTGTATTCGATTTCACCGTTGTTCAAGAACTCGGTGGCATCGATCAACCTCATCGGGTCTGAGAATTTGAGATTCCTCTTCGCTTGTTCAACGTATAACTGATACTTTTGACTTGTTTTCAGAATAATTCTAATTTTTCGGGCAATATCTTTGGACTCGTTATTATTTTGGTTATCATGATGAAAATCTTCCAAAGTTTTCAGATCTTCGTATTTGATTTCTGAAAATTAAACTTGTTATGCAATCTTATATTATAAATTTAATAAAGTAATAGTACTATAAATTAACATTATCACGTAAAAAAAAAAAAAAGATATATATTTGAAAGTATATTGTATAATGAAATCATTTTTTCAAATAAAACGATATTAGAAAACAATGTCATACAATTTTAATTTATAGTTCATTTCGTAAGTTATAAATGTGTATACATTTTAAACTAAAATAAAAAATAAAATAAATAATGCAATAATTAAATAAATGTTGAACATAACTATTAAATATGTGTATAAAGTACCTTGGTGATTACCAGTGTAATTATCGCAGTACAAGCAAGTAGCGTTGATTGCTGCCACTGAAACAGCGAACACGAATAGGGAAACTAAAACCTTCATTTTGCTTTCGGAATCGCCACTGAACTGCCTGGGCAAGTCTCCATCTCAACGTATTTAACCGTATTAAAATGTTGATTAAGAGGTTTGAAGCAATTGAATTTTTTGTCTACATAGCAGCCGTTGTCTATATTAACATAGAATTGTATATTATGACCTTTAAGCATTGTGTACACCACAAAATGCATACAAACTGTTCATAATCATTACTTTCCGTGAATTTTAATAAATAAAAATGTATTTTTATATTATACTTTAATGATATTGATGCGTTTTAGAAAAATATGAGATAAGTTTTCAATTTATTTTATTATTGATTATAATTGTGCATTAAAATTATTATATTGCTTATTCAATAGAATAGGCTATAGTATGTAAAATTAACTTGAGATGATATGTTGTATAGATTATGGATTCTACAGATTTATAATAATAATCAATAAATCTGGTAGATATTTTATTAAAAGTTCTTAATTTACGACGGAATTAGTTTGAAAATTGTAAGTAGTTCAATTACTAATCCAATAATTTAATAATTCAAGATATTATGTTCATGTCTATAGATTATAACAAGCAGTTTTTTTGAACAATAAAAATCGATTTCGTTATAAAATTAGATTTGTCACAAACGTGTCGGTTTTTCTACATTTTTTTCTGTTGGTATATTTACGATTAGGGATGCAAATTAGATCGTTTTAGAAATATCGTTTCAAAATAAAAATAAAACACAATTTTCAATTGATAGGTAAAAGTAGTCAATAAAAAATTGTAATAAAAAGATAAAATAAAAGTTATATCAATTTTCAAAATAATAAAAATTTTGTTTAAAAATTGAAATATTCTTCAATACTACAATAAATTGTATGGTTTGTGGTATAAATAATCTATAGAAGTAATTTAAATTGAATAGTATCTATTATCGTTGTTGTGTATATGAGTAGGAACTATTGACATTTTGTTATGTCTTATGTGGTAACATTTTAGGTTAATTACCTCGTTTCTCTAATACTTATAATCGTATGAAATTTCCTATTACGTTTTTAATGTAGCTCACCGCTTTAACGTTTTATATTCTGCTAAATGTTAATGATGTAATAAAGGCAATTAGTATATCATATACTACTATGCTTTTACTGTGTACTTGTAGTGTTTTTTCAATGTGGGTAATTGCATCTACAATGCGTTTATACTTTTCAGTAAAAACTTACTACTAAACTTAAAACTAAGAGCGTTTTGTATAATTAATTAATAATTACTATTAAGGTATTATTATTGATTTATTTTTTTATCATTTAACTACAATAATCATTCTCCATAAACCATACTAGATACTTGTACACTTTACTTGTACGTTAATATTATGTAGGTATGTGACAATACAAAGTAATTATAATTTAATAGTTTTAGGAATGTTTTGATGAAAACAAAATATAAAATTCGATAAGGTATCACAAACAATCATCAAAATTCATATTTGCATCGATATAAATATATTTATCATTAAATTCAACGTGCTCGTGAAGTGTATTATTATTAATGGAAGTCATTAGGTCATTTTAGGTAATATTGTAACTTGTTTTTAATATATACTTTTTTATGTAAAACACGTGCCGGTATAAGTTATTATCAATTATACAATAGAGACAAAGTAAAGGTTAATTATAGAGTTTTTTGTTTTTAGATTTCATAGATTAATTTTAATTGGCTTTATATTTAAAATGT